TAGAGAACTAAATCATCCTCAAAGACAAAAATGAAAAAGCTAGGATCCTTTACACCGTTATTAGAATTCAAAACATCAAATGCTTATTAGATCTATGATCTGACCAGGTTCTACCAAATCTATCTTCTCTAACTTCATATTGCATGCTGAATCAAATCTTCGCACTTGTAATTGTTGTGAAATAAACCGAGTAAAGTAATTTCCCTATAACCAGATTAGTGAGAATACGAAATAAAAGTGAAAAAAATAATACCCAAAAATTGATAACGGAGTTCAACCAATTGTGCTTACGACTCCGGACTGCTGCAATATTTTACTAAAGAGAAATTTTACAGGTGTTTACAAAACACACTTGAGAGAGAAGTGGATGATTTTGGGATGATTTTGAAGCTAAATGGGTTAGGGTATTTATAGTTGAAGCTTAGGGACTAATCTTGTAAATACTCTAAAAAATGCAATGACTAAAGTTACGATTAACCCATTTACATTTTAATTAAAGAATTGGGGCACCGAAATCGGTGCCCCTTTTGTTGAAAAACCCATGTAAAAAAAACGGTGCCCCCCTCTATAGCCTCCATTGTTGACTTTACAATCTCCCACTTGAAGACTGATTTTAATCTATCTTCACACCTCGATCGATGCAGCATCATTTCTGGTCTTGTTACTCTAGCATACCAACTGAAGCTGAACACAACTTCAGTTTGTCCGTAGTCACTGTCTTTGTTAACATGTCTACTGGATTTTGAGCTCCACTAATCTTTTTAAGTTTCAAAATCCCATCTTCCAGAAGAGACCGGATAAAATGATATCTCAATTGTATGTGCTTTGTTCTGGAATGAAAAGATAGATGTTTTGCTAGATGTATAACACTTTGACTATCGCAGTACAAGACATTGTTCTCTTGTTTCTTGCCTAACTCTTCCAAGAAACTTTGGAGCCAAACCATCTCCTTGCTGGCTTCCGTAACAGCGACAATTCTGCTTTAGTTGTGGAGAGAGAAACTATCTTCTGTAGTTGAGAAACCCAACTCACTGCAGTACCTCCTAGAGTATAAATATACCCTGTAATGCTCTTTCTGATGTCAACATTTCCAGCTAAGTCAGCATCTACATAGCTTGTCAGTATCATATCTCCACCTTTAAACAAAGTGCTTTGTTTGTAGTACCCCGCAGATATTTGAGGATCCATTTGACAGCTTCCCAGTGTACCTTGCCTGGATTATTCATGTACATGCTAACAGCTCCCACTGCATGAGCAATATCTGGTCTAGTACAAACCATGGCATACATCAGACTTTTAATTACTGAGGTATACGACACCTTTACCATGTGTGCACGTTCTTCCTCCGTCTTTGGTGACTGTTCTTTGGAGAGTCTGAAATGAACACCTAAAGGTGTACTTACTGGTTTAGCATCTTGTATATTGAACCTGGAGAGTACTTTGTTGATGTACTCAACCTATGATAACATCAAAGTACCCGAATTTGTGTCTCTCTTGATCCTCATCCCAAGAATCTGCTTTGCAGCGCCCAGATCTTTCATAGCAAACTGCTTTGACAATTCTTGCTTCAAGTGTATAATTTCTTGCATGTCTGAGCCTGCAACGAGCATGTCATCAACATACAATAATAAAATAATGAAAATGTTGTCGAACCTCTTGATGTAGTAACAACGATCTGCTTGGCATCTGGTAAAACCACTGCTACTCATGAAGCTGTCAAACTTCTTATACCACTGTCTAGGAGCTTGTTTTAAACCATACAAGATCTTCTTCAACCTGCATACTAGTTTTTCTTGCATGCCTCTATGAAGCCTTCTGGCTGCCTTATATAGATTTCTTCCTCCAAATCACCATGAAGGAAAGCTGTCTTTACATCTAACTGCTCAAGATGTAAATTCTCTGCAGCTACAATTTTTAACACCAGTCTGATTGTAGACAATTTTACGACTGGAGAGAAAATTTCATTGTAGTCAATACCTTCTTTTTTGCTGAAAGACTTTGACAACCAATCTTGCTTTTTAGCGTTTGCTCCCATCGTGCTCTTCTTTGATCATGTAGATCTACTTGTTATGGAGCGCTTTCTTGCCTGGTGGTAATTCAGCTAATTCCCACGTCTGATTTGACATAAGCGAGTCCATCTCATCTTTCATGGAAGACTCCCACTTGACTGAATCCTCTACTTGCATTGCTTCATCATAGCACTCTGGTTCACCATTGTCAGTCAGCAACAAGTAGTGCAAAGAAGGAGAATACCGTTGGGTTAGTTTAGGAATTCTGGAGGAGCGTCTTAGTTCCGGTGTGCCTAGTTCTTCTTGAACTCCTTCAGGACTGATCTGAACATCATTTCAGAAATCTCCTCGAACTCAGCAAATTCTTTTGTTTCAGCTTTGGTATTGGAGCTATTTGATTCTACAGTTGACATGTCTTTGTACATCACATTCTCATTGAAAATGACATCTCTGCTTCTGATGATCTTCTGATTTTCATAGTCCCAAAACCGGTAACCGAACTCATCACCGCCGTAACCAACAAAGGCACATTTGTTGGACTTAGCATCAAGTTTACTTCTTTTAGCAGAGTCTATGTGTACATAAGAAATACAACCAAACACTCTTAAGTAAAAGGTTTATTTCTTTCTTGCTCCAAACTTTCTCTGGTATTCATCCATCCAAAGGAATTGAGGGCCCACAGTTGATCATGTAAGCTGCAGTGTTGATAGCTTCAACCCATAGAAATTTGGGCAATCCGACATGTATCCTCATGCTTCTGGCACGTTCATTCAAAGTTCTGTTCATGCGCTCTGCTACGCCATTCTGCTGCGGTGTCATGGGAATCGTTGTCTCCATCTTGATCCCATTGTTTGCGCAAAAATCTCTGAATCTCCTATTTCTGTACTCTCCTCCATTGTCAGACCTCAACCGCTTAACTTTCAGACCAGTCTCATTTTCCACCATGGCCTTCCATTTTCTGAAGGTATCAAAGACTTTTGATTTCTTCTTCAGAAAATAAACCCACACCTTCCTTGTAGAATCATCGATGAATGTGACATAATATAGTGAGCCTGCAAGAGATGGAACTGGAGATGGTCCCCATACATCAATATGAACCAACTTTAACTTTTCAGCCTTGGGTGTCTTACCAATCTTTGCAAAGCTGACTTTCTTTTGTTTGCCAAAGATGCAATCCTCGCATAGTCCGACATCTACATTCTTTAGATCCAGAAGCTTCCCTTTTGAAAAAAGTGTCTTCATCCTTTTCTTGCTCATGTGACCAAGCCTTTGGTGCCATAGGTTTGATTTTCCATCAGCATCTGCGGCTGCAATGATATTCTCTAAATTTGAGGTTACATAGAGAGTACCAGTTTTCTTACCACGAGCAATGACTAGTGCTCATTCGGTAATCTTCCATTCACAGCCTGAAAAGGTTGTGTTATATCATTCTCCATCAAGATGTCCAACAGAAATAAAATTTCTTTTGAGACCAGGAATATGTCTCACACTTTCAGCGTCTAAGTGGTCTGGTTTGGCAACTTTAGTCGGATATCTCCTCTTTCGACGATCTTCAAGGTTTTATCGTCAGCTAGATGAACATTCCCAAAATCACCACTGACATAGTTCTCCATGATTTCTCAGAATGGGTGGAGTGGAAATATGCCCCTGAATCCAAGATCCATGATTCAATCAGACTGCTGACGCTTAGAATCATGGCATCCCCTGTCTCTCTGTCATGTTGGCAGATCCCTGTGCACCGGTATCTTTCTTCAGTGCTCGACGTCTCTTTTTAAGTGACCCTTCTTGCCACAATTATAATAGGTAAAATCTTTCTTTCCTGTTCTTGATTTTCCCATTATGGATTTGGATCTGCTACGGATTGATTTTCCCGTTCTGGATTTGGATTTGACTCTGTGTGTAAGGCTAAGGAGATTGATGCTTCACCCGATTCTCTCCGTCCAATTTCTTCACTCAATACCAGATCTCAAACATCGTTGAATTTTAATTTGCTATTTCCCGACGAGCTGCTGACTGCTGTAACAGTAGCATTCCAACTGTCTGGTAGAGAAGATAGGAGAATTAAAGCTCGAACTTCATCATCGAATTCAATTTCCACAAAACTCAACTGGGTTGTGATAGTGTTGAGCCATTAATGCCCCTTCCGCCATCCGCAAATTGAATAATCGCCTCATCAAGTGAACTTTGTTTGAGCTGATGGCTTCTCGTACATACTGGAGAGAGCCGCCATAAGACCCGCCGTGGTCTTTTCCTTTGCTATGTTGAAAGCAACATTGCGGGATAACGTCAGTCGGATAACTCCGAGGGCTTGTCTATCGAGAAGAGCCCAGTCTTCATTCTTTATGCCCTCTGGTTGCTTTCCTGAGAGGGGTTGATATAGATTTTTATGGTACAGAAAATCTTCAATCTGCATCTTCCAAAAGCCAAAGTCCGTACCATCGAACTTTTCAATTTTCACATTCCCTTCGTCTGCAGCCATCGCTCCCACTCGAATCTGGATTCGTTTGGATCGTTTATGACAATTCTTGCGAACCAACGTATATTAGAACACCTATGTCGACAAATTCGTATTACCGACAAAATTTCACTATTCACGAAATTTACTATTCACATGAATAGTAACCTCGCAAAAAAATTGACAAAACTTACAACCAAAAGCTCTAATTACTAGTTGTTGTGAAATAAACCGAGTACAAGTAATTTCCCTATAACAAGATTAGTGAGAATACGAAATAAAAGCGAAAAAATAATACCCAAAAATTGATAACAGAGTTCAACCAATTATGCTTACGACTCCGGACTGTTGCAGATCTTTTACTAAAGAAAATTTTACAGGTGTTTACAAAACACACTTGAGAGAGAAGTGAAGCTTTTGGGATAATTTTGAAGCTAAATGGGTTAGAATATTTATATTTGAAGCTTAGGGACTAATCTTGTAAATACCCTAAAAATGTAATGACTAAAGTTACGATTAACCCATTTACATTTTAATTAAAGAATTGGGGCACCGAAATCGGTGCCCCTTTTGTTGAAAACCCATGCAAAAAAAAATGGTGCCCCCTCTATAGCCTCCATTGTTGACTTTACAGTAATGTGTTCAATGAGCATGTCAACTACTTCTTTTGATACCATCGTGGTTGATTTCGTCAAAGCCTTAATCTTCCTGTCAATTTCCTCTTCATGTTTCTTCACTGTATTTCTAGAGCTTCCGGTTGACTGCAAACATTATCAATTTACAGTAATCTATCACTTACAAAATTTATTATTGAAATTACGTACCTCCGATATTTTATTTTGGTATTCAACTTCCATTTGGGAGCGGTAAAGGGCGACCTCCTTTTCGGCTTCTTCTTTGGCTTGCTTTAGCCTGGCCATCTTCACTGAGCAATGACATAATTGTGAAAATTCAAGTTTTTGTCTGTGTGATTACAATGCGGTAACTGTTAACTATTTGTAGTGACGAAATTTGGTGATGGAGTTTGGGGGTCCAATTTAAAATTTTAAAAAATTTAGTGGTTTAAATTAAGATTTTTAAAGGGTTTAGTTTATATTTTTCCAAAAAATTAGGGTCTAACTACAATTTTTGAAAATTTGAGAGACTTAATGAGAATTTTTAAAAATATGGGAGGAGATTTAATTAAGAACATTCAAAAAATTTAAAATTTAATTTGAATTTTTAAAAAATTTGAGGGGTCAAATTGAATTTTTTTAAAAAAATTAAGGATAAAAATTAGATTTTTTTAAATTTTGGGGGCCATGGCCCTCTCTAGTCCAGCTTATGTGTTCGTCCCTGACTAATTGACAATGAATACGCATACATCCTATAGTGTAATTGTAAGAGTCCAACCTCAAGGGAGAACAATACTCTCTTCCACTTTTGAAATTATTTGATGGATTCTTTGACATCGAAAATTGAATTACATAAAACTTACGAAATTCGAAATGAAATAACATAATTAAGTATATTTAGTCAGTTAAAAGTTTTCTTACTGTTTCTAGCACTTGAAACTATGTGCTGAGCCTCTTGCTCTGCAGTTAGCAACATCTGAATGCCTCCTTCACCTTGCCCTTTGAACGAATCCATGGCTGCCACCGGACCAACAATATCTAGAAAAAGGTCACAAGAAAACCAACAAAACCATGCATATTTTTTATTATTGAGATCTAAAGGGGTAAAAAAGGAAAGAAAAAGAGTAGAGCCATAAACGAGTTAGAGCTAAAGCTGAATAGATAATTGAAGGAAAGAATCAAATCCTCATCACATTTTCCACTTAAATACTTCCAAATCTTTTAGGGTTTTAATACTTTTGACTCTCACTTTCCATAGTTAAGGGGATTAGTTTTGGTTTAATTTCTCAGTTAAAATAGATTTTTAAATATCATACGTGTATACGTTCTAGCTAGAAAGTTCGCGACAGACTTCACTAATTTTGCGACCAAAACAGTTTTTTTTCCAAATGGCATGGATTCATAGCTGAAGGAAGTATTATCAAAATCAAAATTTCTCGAAAACAATTTCAGACAACAATCTAATAAACAACTCATAGAAGAGTAATACTTGAAAACATCATAAAAATTAAGAACGAGACCATCCAATCGATGTTGAATTCAAGCTAATAGAATGAGGTGATTTAATATGGTCTTTAAGTACAGAAAATAACTAGAGAACATTCATATTACATAATTAATCAGGGACGACGCTAAGTATAGATATTATACACGAAAACAAGTAGAGCATAACAAATACAGATCAATTAGTTGCTCATACGTCCACTGTCTCATGGGCTGAATACTTCAACACTCAATGCACCGTATTACAAAATCAGACAGCAATACGTAAGCATATACTATAAAATACAAGAAGTGCTACCGCATCCACCAACACCTCTTCGATCAATCCCTGCATAGTAGGTTACCTCAATAATCGCACCTCTTGAACAGACAATTCATGTATAAAAATAATGGTAACACAATTCAAGATAATCGTATAAAATTATAAGGCACTAAAGTGAGACACACACCTATTCAATCTTAAGGAGTTTACGAGATTTTTAGATCGAATAGCAAAGTCTTTCCTATATCTATAATCAAACTAAAGATAGTATTGATTGACTCTACTTTGAAAGAATACAATACCTCATTCAATACAACTCCAAATCATTATACTCAATTACTTAGTCGACATGATTTACAATTCAGCAAGAAAATAAAAGAAAATAACCCTTAAACAACATAACGAATTGAGCAAGACAAGAGAAGTTGATTTATTTGATATTCAATGAACTCATGTTTTACAATTTTCTTTGATTGTGAGCCTGAAGAAAATTGTAGCATTTTTGAAACTTATTCATCAAACTTTTTTTTTCACATTTCTAAAATTGAAAGAGGAAGAAAATATTTTCAAACAGGATAATCTTAAGTGAAAAAGGTCCTTGAAGCTGGCGAGGCCCATCCTGTCTCAAATTGGAGAAGAACAAACGATGCCAGAATAATGAAGCATTTCACAATCTTGAAAGCAAATAGTCTGAGAGATCAGAAGGACTAGAGGATAAAACTTCTAACACTTCCTTGTAAAGTGTCGGTAATCCGTCAAGAAGTAGATGATCGCCTTAATCGAAAGGGACACATATCTCAGCTCATAGCAAAAATTTAAGACATTTCTGTTAAAAGAATTGATCACTTCTTAAGTGTTCCATTTGATTATGCCATTGATAACTTCCTAAAAAGGCTACTTTTAAGGCATTTTTCACTTAAGTTATTGTTTGTTTAAGAGCCCATTTTAGTCATTTTAGGATCATGTAGTTGCATATAGTTGTATTTGTAGTGATATTGCTATTTTATCTCTTAAAGGTGTTGTATGAGAGAAAGGTGCAGTTGTTTGTGGTGTGTAGGGATAGAAGACAAAAGGATTCTTTGGGAAGTAATGTCGCGGCATCACACGTTGCTGAAGCAGATTGAAATGCCTTGGCATTTCTGGCGCAGAAAATGACAAAAAGATACAGCTGTACGAGGACAACTGGCTTGCACGTGAAATGATGGTTGTAACCGCCTGCCAGAGGACCACTTCCACCTGGAGGATAAGGTTCACACATATGGTGTGATTCTAGGGGTATGAGGGGTATTTTGCACCCAACATCACCCAACAACCTCATCATTACCCCTAGATATTTTTATTATATATGACACCTCACAAGGAGAGAAAAACACAACAGAGAGAGGCATACAAGTAGAGCAAAAAAATCCCATTTTTATTTTCTTTTCCCTTCTTCTTCCTTGGGTGTTCCTCCATTGATAAAGCTCCAAGGAGTGGCTAGCTAGGCGTCGAGAGGAGCTAGCGAGCTAAGGTGGTTCATGGTGGCCGAGGAACCTCCGGTGGCGTGCGTCGAAGGCCTCTTCTCACTTCCCTTTGCTGCTATTTTTTATTTATTTTTAGCTTGTTGGAACGAATATTTTATGGCTTGTTTTATGGATATTTCGAACCCCATAATGAACTAACTTATTTGGTGGTGGTTGGTTTAATGGTTGTTTAAACTTTATTTTAATGGTAGGTTTATATTTATCTTGGTTATTTGCTTGCTTTGCTTATGAATACTTCACCATCTAGGCTTGTAAGAGGCATGAGAGTGTCCATTTCTTAGATGAAGGTTAGGTGTTCGAGAGAAACCTAAGCTAAAAATACTTGTAGTATTCGAGAGAAACACAAGACAAGATCCTCATAAGCAATGGACTATAGTGTTTTCAAGGGGCTTTGAATTGGCCTAGGAATACTATATCCTAATCCCTTAGTACTCGAGAGAGACTATGATAGGATTTCAACGACTAAAAAGGGTGTTTTTATCAATAGTGTGGACTGTCATCATGTTGAGTGAGAACAGATGCCATGACATCCTATTATGTTAGGTTCCTTTGACTAGAGATAGCAGGAACATTTTCGGAAAAACTGTTGAGTAAGTAAATATTAGATAGCTTAAATCTGCCTGAGAGATAAGTTTAGCATCCTTAAATCAATCCCTACCATTCATTCCAGTGGAAGCTTATCATGTGTGGATTATTCGCTTATCATTTATTTTCTGTTTATTTACTGTTTTTACCATCTTTCATTGCCTTGACATTTCATCATCTTCAACATTAAACATCTGCTCTTGCCACTGCATTTCTATTTTCTACACCATCAGACCATCAATCCATATCTACCAACATACACATTTCCATTACCGTGACATTGTATATATCAATACTAACTATACATAGATAGATTAGTGCTTTTCTTTGGTTAGACTTTTGTAATTTCACCTAATCCCTGTGGAGACGATACTCACTTATCACTTTATTACTTAAGCGATTGTGTATACTTGCATATTATTTACGTATAATTTTATAGTACTCACAACACGCAATAAGTTTTTGGCGCCATTGCCGGGGATTAGCAGCCTGAAGTTAATTAGTTTTTCCAGAGCATTTTATATTACTTTGCATTTTTATTTGTGTATAGTTTACTTGATAATTTTTTTTTCAGGTTTATTTAGTGTATTCGTAGAAGAAATTATGAAGAGCCATTGAAACTGATAGAACCTGAGATTGAAAGACTCTTTAGACAAAGGAGATGTGCTCAACATGCTCGAGGAAATATTATCAGATTGGAAACCAAGGCATTGGTCAAGATGACGGAAATAAGAATGCCGCGACATTAGACAATGTTGAACCTGCTGGTAGGTTATGTGTTATTCGTGATCACTTAAATCCGATACCAGATGATCTAAATCTTGGAATTTTGGCACCCAAATTCAAGCTGCACATTTCGAGCTGAAACCAGTCATGTTCAACATGTTGAATTCCATTGGGCAGTTTGGGGGTATGCCAAATGAAGATGCCAGACAACATATTAGAATTTTCTGGAAGTTTGTGGTTCTTTCCACCAAGAAGAAGTGCATGAGGATTTTTTGAAATTAAAGTTGTTCTCGTATTCATTGTATGATCGAGCAAGGGCTTGGTTGAGGGGTGTACCATTTGGTTCGATAGAATCATGGGCCGATCTTTGCAAAAGTTTCTTATTGAGGTACAACCTACCGAACATGTACGCAACTAAGGAATGATATAGCATCTTTTCGCCAGGACGACGATGAATCCATGCATAAGTGTTGGGATCGTTACAAGAGTTTACTTCGAAAGTGTTTAAATCATGGTTTTCACGATTGGAATCAAGTAGTTATGTTCTATAATAGAGTCAATGCACTCACGAGGATGTTACTGGATGCCTCGGAAAATGGGACATTGTTGGATAAATCACCTATGAGGCATTTGTTATCTTGGACAGAATTGCTAATAATGATTATCAATTTCCTTCCTCAAGACTTGGGAGTGGGAGGAGAGCACCTGGGGCAGTTGAGTTAGATACCAAGGATTCGGTGTCTTCTTAACTCTCAGTTATCACCAATATGCTGAAGAATTTACAACGCTCCACTGAGGTGAAGAAGTGAAAGCAACTAGCTTGGCATGTTTGTTATGCCAAGGCAATCATCATGAAAGCGAATGCCCTACCAACCATGAGTCATCAACTTTGTAGGTAATTTCAATTGAGACAACAACAATCCTTACTCTAACACTTATAATGCAGGATGGTGTCAGCATCCCAATTTCTCATGGGGAAATCAAGGAGCCCACAGTACTAGTCAACCCACTCGGCAGCAGAATCACAATGAGCCTCAAAGTTATCAGAATGCTATGCCATGACATAATACCAACAAAGAGCTTCATCTTCAGCAAGCATAAGTTTATTGAAAGATACGATTCAAGGGTTTATATCTTCTACGAAGGCAATGCTGCAAGATCATTCTAATTTAATTAAGAATCAAGGAGCTTTACTTCATAGTTAAGGCACCTTACTTCAAAGCCATAGCTAGTCTCTGAGAGGTTTGGAAGGACAAGTTGGTCAGATTGTAACGGTATTGCAAGAGCGTCAGCAATGACATTTGCCAAGTGATACTGAAGTCACTAAAGCACATGGAAAAGAGCATTGCAACGTGTTAACTCTTAGGAGTAAAACACAAATCAATCAACAAGGCAAGGTTAATGGGGCACAACATGATGACTC